TTTTGGGATGGAGAACAAATTTTTGGGATGGAGAACAAATCCTTGGGATGGAGAACAAGTGTTTGGGATGGAGAACAAATTTTTGGGATGGAGAAGAAATCCTTGGGATGGAGAACAAGTGTTTGGGATGGAGAACAAGTGTTTGGGATGAAGAACAAACCCTTGGGATGGAGAACCAAACTCCAGCTTTCCCTCCCTTCCAGGATCCCGGATCATCTCCTGCCGGTTTTATTCCCAAACTTGGGAATCTCCTGACCCCTCTGTCATGGAGCAGGGAAGGTTGGGAAGCTCTTTCTCCAAGCAGGAGAACCCAGGAATTCCCAGGACGATCCCGGGATGGCTCCGTCGCTTGTTCCCACCTGAGCTTGAGGAATTCCCGCAGGAATTCCCGCAGGATTGTCAGGACGTGATCCACTTGGATGGGCGGGAGGCGAGGGGAGCTCCCGGGGGCTTGGTGCCGATCCCTCTGGGAATGGGATCGGCCGCTCCCTCGCTCCTCAGCCGGATCCGCGGGATCTTCCCCAGCCCAGGTGACCTGGAGGGAGAAAAGCTGGATTTGGAATTTTTTGGGGCGGGTTTTTTTTTTTTTTCGGATATGAACACAGCGGTCCTCATTCCCGGAATTCCTGGGATCTGCCGGGTGATCCCACCTGGATCTTGGGCGCGTTCTGGGATTCGTAGTCCAGGAAAAAATCCAGGAGCTCGCGCAGCTCGTCCTCATCCTCGATCCGGAGGGCCTGGAAAAGCGGGAATTGCGTGGGAAGGGAATTTTCCGGGAGCAGAGGAAATGCGGGATAAGGAAGGAATGGTGGGAAGCCGGGAATAGCCATGGATGGGAAAATCTGGGAATGGGCTGGAGGAGTCCTGGAGATGCTTAAATCACCGGGATGGGCTGGAGCTGGGAATCTGGGAATCACGGAATGTTCCGGGTGGGAAGGGACCTCAAAGCTCATCCCACTCCATGGGCAGGGACACCTTCCATGATCCCAAAACTTGGACATTCCCAGGGCTCCTGTGGCGGCCACAGATTCTCTGGGAATTCCAGCCCAGCCAGGAATTCCTTCCCAAATTCCTCCCCTTTCCATGGAATTTCCTCCATTCCCAGGTCTACCAGGCCGAAATTGGATCCATCCCCATCCCGATTCCTCTCTGGGAAGGAATTTTGGGATCCAGGGGTTTCACTGGGAATTCGGGACTCCAGGAAGGGTCTCCCTTCCCTTTTCCATCTCCAAATTCCATAAAAATCCCTCGAGATGGATCCTGAGTGTCCTCGATCCCAGAATCCTGGAATTGTTTGGGATGGGATCCATGGACCTTCAATCCCAGGGACACTTCCCACGATCCCGGGGTGATCCAAATCCACCCTGGGACACTCCCAGAGATTCTCTGGGAATCCCAGCCCAGCTGGGAATTCCTGCCCAAGATCCCAAATTCCCAAGCTCCCCTTTCCCACTGGGAATTCCATTCCCTGGCTCCTGCCCCTCCAGCCCTTCCCCAAATTCCAGCTCTCC